GTCTGACATTTTTTTATCCCTTTTTATGCTTTACTATACTATGACGTTTTTAACACTTTTCATGCCTTACTATACTGTGACGTTTTTATGCCTTACTATACTATGAAGTTCTAATTACTTTTTATGCCCTACGATCCTATGACGTTTTTTTTTTATTTTTTATGCCTTACCATACTATGACGTTTTTATGCCTTACTATACTATGACATTTTTATGCCTTACTATACTATGTTGTTTTTTTACTTTTTATGCCTTACTATACTATGTTGTTTTTTTACTTTTTATGTCTCATTATAGTATGATATTTATTTTATCCCTTTTTATGCCTTACTATACTATGTTGTTTTTTTACTTTTTATGTCTCATTATAGTATGATATTTATTTTATCCCTTTTTATGCCTTACTATACTATGTTGTTTTTTTACTTTTTATGTCTCATTATAGTATGATATTTATTTTATCCCTTTTTATGCCTTACTATACTATGTTGTTTTTTTACTTTTTATGTCTCATTATAGTATGATATTTATTTTATCCCTTTTTATGCCTTACTATACTATGTTGTTTTTTTACTTTTTATGTCTCATTATAGTATGATATTTATTTTATCCCTTTTTATGCCTTACTATACTATGTTGTTTTTTTACTTTTTATGTCTCATTATAGTATGATATTTATTTTATCCCTTTTTATGCCTTACTATACTATGTTGTTTTTTTACTTTTTATGTCTCATTATAGTATGATATTTATTTTATCCCTTTTTATGCCTTACTATACTATGTTGTTTTTTTACTTTTTATGTCTCATTATAGTATGATATTTATTTTATCCCTTTTTATGCCTTACTATACTATGTCGTTTTTTTTACTTTTATGTCTCATTATAGCATGACATTTATGTTATCCCTTTTTATGCCTTACTATACTATGTCGTTTTTTTTACTTTTATGTCTCATTATAGCATGACATTTATGTTATCCCTTTTTATGCCTTACTATACTATGTCGTTTTTTTTACTTTTATGTCTCATTATAGCATGACATTTATGTTATCCCTTTTTATGCCTTACTATACTATGTCGTTTTTTTTACTTTTATGTCTCATTATAGCATGACATTTATGTTATCCCTTTTTATGCCTTACTATACTATGTCGTTTTTTTTACTTTTATGTCTCATTATAGCATGACATTTATGTTATCCCTTTTTATGCCTTACTATACTATGTCGTTTTTTTTACTTTTATGTCTCATTATAGCATGACATTTATGTTATCCCTTTTTATGCCTTACTATACTATGTCGTTTTTTTTACTTTTATGTCTCATTATAGCATGACATTTATGTTATCCCTTTTTATGCCTTACTATACTATGTCGTTTTTTTTACTTTTATGTCTCATTATAGCATGACATTTATGTTATCCCTTTTTATGCCTTACTATACTATGTCGTTTTTTTTACTTTTATGTCTCATTATAGCATGACATTTATGTTATCCCTTTTTATGCCTTACTATACTATGTCGTTTTTTTTACTTTTATGTCTCATTATAGCATGACATTTATGTTATCCCTTTTTATGCCTTACTATACTATGTCGTTTTTTTTACTTTTATGTCTCATTATAGCATGACATTTATGTTATCCCTTTTTATGCCTTACTATACTATGTCGTTTTTTTTACTTTTATGTCTCATTATAGCATGACATTTATGTTATCCCTTTTTATGCCTTACTATACTATGTCGTTTTTTTTACTTTTATGTCTCATTATAGCATGACATTTATGTTATCCCTTTTTATGCCTTACTATACTATGTCGTTTTTTTTACTTTTATGTCTCATTATAGCATGACATTTATGTTATCCCTTTTTATGCCTTACTATACTATGTCGTTTTTTTTACTTTTATGTCTCATTATAGCATGACATTTATGTTATCCCTTTTTATGCCTTACTATACTATGTCGTTTTTTTTACTTTTATGTCTCATTATAGCATGACATTTATGTTATCCCTTTTTATGCCTTACTATACTATGTCGTTTTTTTTACTTTTATGTCTCATTATAGCATGACATTTATGTTATCCCTTTTTATGCCTTACTATACTATGTCGTTTTTTTTACTTTTATGTCTCATTATAGCATGACATTTATTTTATCCCTTTTTATGCCTTACTATACTATGTCGTTTTATTTACTTTTTATGCCTTACTATACTATGACGTTTTTATGCCTTACTATACTATGTCGTTTTATTTACTTTTTATGCCTTACTATACTATGTCGTTTTTTTTACTTTTATGTCTCATTATAGCATGACATTTATTTTATCCCTTTTTATACCTTACTATACTATGTCGTTTTTATGACTTTTTATGCCATACTATACTATGTCGTTTTTTTTACTTTTATGTCTCATTATAGCATGACATTTATTTTATCCCTTTTTATACCTTACTATACTATGTCGTTTTTATGACTTTTTATGCCATACTATACTATGTCGTTTTTTTTACTTTTATGTCTCATTATAGCATGACATTTATTTTATCCCTTTTTATACCTTACTATACTATGTCGTTTTTATGACTTTTTATGCCATACTATACTATGTCGTTTTTTTTACTTTTATGTCTCATTATAGCATGACATTTATTTTATCCCTTTTTATACCTTACTATACTATGTCGTTTTTATGACTTTTTATGCCATACTATACTATGTCGTTTTTTTTACTTTTATGTCTCATTATAGCATGACATTTATTTTATCCCTTTTTATACCTTACTATACTATGTCGTTTTTATGACTTTTTATGCCATACTATACTATGTCGTTTTTTTTACTTTTATGTCTCATTATAGCATGACATTTATTTTATCCCTTTTTATACCTTACTATACTATGTCGTTTTTATGACTTTTTATGCCATACTATACTATGTCGTTTTTTTTACTTTTATGTCTCATTATAGCATGACATTTATTTTATCCCTTTTTATACCTTACTATACTATGTCGTTTTTATGACTTTTTATGCCATACTATACTATGTCGTTTTTTTTACTTTTATGTCTCATTATAGCATGACATTTATTTTATCCCTTTTTATACCTTACTATACTATGTCGTTTTTATGACTTTTTATGCCATACTATACTATGTCGTTTTTTTTACTTTTATGTCTCATTATAGCATGACATTTATTTTATCCCTTTTTATACCTTACTATACTATGTCGTTTTTATGACTTTTTATGCCATACTATACTATGTCGTTTTTTTTACTTTTATGTCTCATTATAGCATGACATTTATTTTATCCCTTTTTATACCTTACTATACTATGTCGTTTTTATGACTTTTTATGCCATACTATACTATGTCGTTTTTTTTACTTTTATGTCTCATTATAGCATGACATTTATTTTATCCCTTTTTATACCTTACTATACTATGTCGTTTTTATGACTTTTTATGCCATACTATACTATGTCGTTTTTTTTACTTTTATGTCTCATTATAGCATGACATTTATTTTATCCCTTTTTATACCTTACTATACTATGTCGTTTTTATGACTTTTTATGCCATACTATACTATGTCGTTTTTTTTACTTTTATGTCTCATTATAGCATGACATTTATTTTATCCCTTTTTATACCTTACTATACTATGTCGTTTTTATGACTTTTTATGCCATACTATACTATGTCGTTTTTTTTACTTTTATGTCTCATTATAGCATGACATTTATTTTATCCCTTTTTATACCTTACTATACTATGTCGTTTTTATGACTTTTTATGCCATACTATACTATGTCGTTTTTTTTACTTTTATGTCTCATTATAGCATGACATTTATTTTATCCCTTTTTATGCCTTACTATTCTATGTCGTTTTATTTACTTTTTATGCCTTACTATACTATGACATTTTTATGCCTTACTATACTATGAAGTTCTGATTACTTTTTATGCCCTACGATCCCATGATGTTTTTTTTCTCATGCCTTACCATACAATATGATTTTTATACCTTAGTATACTATGATGTCTTTAAGACTTTTTATGCCAACGTATGACAACGTTTTTTTGGCTTTTTATGCCTTATTATACTATGACATTTTTATGCCTTACTATACTATGTCGTTTTTTTTACTTTTTATGCCCTACTATACTATGACATTTTTATGCCTTACTATACTATGACGTTTTTATGCCTTACTATCCTATGTCGTTTTTTTTACTTTTTATGCCCTACTATACTATGACATTTTTATGCCTTACTATACTATGTCGTTTTTTTTACTTTTTATGCCCTACGATCCCATGACGTTTTTTTTTATTTCTTATGCCCTACCATACAATGTGATCTTTATACCTTAGTATACTATGATGTCTTTAAGACTTTTTATGCCAACGTATGACAACGTTTTTTTGGCTTTTTATGCCTTATTATACTATGACATTTTTATGCCTTATTATACTATGTCGTTTTTATGACTTTTTAAGCATTACTATAGTATGATGTTTTTTTTATGACTTTTTATGCCCTACTATACTATGAAGTTTTTATGACTTTTCATGCCTTACTATACTATGACTTTTAAAAAATGTTTATTCCTTACTATACTATGATGTTTTGATTACTTTTTATTCCCTACTCTAAGACATTTTTTTTACTTTTTATGCCTTACTATACTATGATGTTTTGATTACTTTTTATGCCCTACTCTAAGACATTTTTTTTACTTTTTATGCCTGACTATACTATGTCGTTTTTATGAGTTTTTTTGCCCCTTGTGCAAATCAGACGTCCTCCTTGAAGGCAGTAGAGTGGGATCACTGAACTCTGTACCTACTCTACTACTCCAGTACTCTGGACATTATAGTTACAGAGAAGATAGTAAGAATACAGGTGCATAAACATTTGCGAAGGAACACACACAAAGTCAATGAACATGAAAATAAAGTTTCTTCTCTTGTGTTTTGTTCAACATATATTTATTTATTAATGCTGACAGACAGGTATTGGTTCAGACAAACATGGTGGCATCAACTGTAGAACAGAACCAGGCAGAGAAGGAAATCTGTTTCAGACCTGAGACACTCTCAAAGGTCGCTCAGCTTACACACTGTCAGATTGTCCTGCTCACAGTGTTTGGCACCGCTCAGTCCATGATCACTCATTTAGCATACCACATGACACCTAATTCTGATTTAATCAATCTATGAGAAGAAGTCAAGCCATGGGTTAATATTATAAAAAAGTGCTAAAATGCCATGGAGTTTGCGTGTTGAATCATAATAAAACGATGCAAACGGAAAATTCCAACAAAAAATTATTCTAAAAAAATCGTTTTAAATACCATATTTTCTGTAACTGAACATTTTCACCAGTTTTTCCAGATTCTTAAACATTATATGAGCACAAGTCTACAGGCATCTGTTCTACTAATCCTATTGGCTCTGGCTGTGAAGTGTTTAAAGACTGGTCACCAGTGGTTACAGGACAGAGTTTTCTAGTTTTCCACCCTGAGCATCAAAAAGCCAGTCATTGCATCAACAAAGTCAAAAGAAACTAGACTTGTCAGCAGGTATAACGGGGTCCAAACACCTTAATGCAATTCTGACCAGGAGGCTCATCAACACAAGGGGAATAAGGAAGCTGTGATAATAGGGTGCTGGTGGTGGAACACACGTCTGTACACTTGGACAGGCTACTCTCAACAATCATGAACCTTTAACCCTGAAGCAAGGCACTAAACCCCATCACCTGCTCCTACAGAGCTGCTCAGAGGCCACCAGTGGGGCAATGGGTTTTGTAAGACAGTTCCCAGAATGCAAAGCAGGGGAAAGAACTGAATTTAATAAATAATTAAAACATAAGAAGTAATGAGAAATGTCATGGAGAAAGGCATCAATCTGTCTACAATCTGTAACAATAGGTAAATGCTGTAGTGCTACAATCCGTCAGTCATGGCAGTTTGTCTGTAATCACTGGTGAACACTCTTTAAACACTGGTAACCCTTATTTTGTTTTTTGTTTTTAATGCAGGTATGAGCGATGGGCAGACATGATGGGCAACAACTGTGACAGTCAGCTACAGCTAGCACACACACATTTGAAGGCTTTGTAAAGGCAAAAGCAGCATGTTTAACTAACGAGAAAAAGTCATCATAACAAGGCAAAGTGATCACTAACTGTGTTTAGATATTAAACCCAAAGTGACCAGGACTTGATTTGGTGATGAAACAGCAATTATACAGCTCGCGTCGGTTTGACATAGAGATAAAACTGTAATAAAAATAATAAAAATACTCAAGTGAGTCGCCTATGGCTGATTTTGATTCCTTTAAAAATGCTCTCTCTCTAACAGGATGATGTAAACATACTGCAAGTTCTAAACAAATACTTGGTGCTTTTAAAAGAAAAAAATGTTGTTATGTCTGATTCAATATTGCATGAAAACATGACCCTTATACTGTGAGTCTGGAGTTGCTCCTCCTTGTCCTGTTCAAACATAATTACATCAGGACAGGCGAAAAGAATGCAGCACAACAGAAGAATGAGATATCCATTTGGTTCAAATTTCTCATATTCCTGTTTGTGACTAAATAATTCCCCGACACATTTTATACAAACTACTTCCTGTAGGTCACAGGTATCAATTCAGACACTTGAGCTCAAACAATTTGAGAGAAACTTGCCATTAGAGTTGGGGTGAAGTCTGCTGCGGAGCTGGTAGGGACAGATTTGTCAACGCAAAACAAGCATGGAGAGCAAATACCTCAACATGTAAAGGGACAACAAACAATGATTCTAGCTAACAGTTTGTAAGTGTGGTAATGCAACATTGATTTCAATTTTAATCACAAGCAGAATTGCTTTATCCACATATATATTTGTGATTTGTTAAAGTTATTTTGTGTTTGCAAGATATTAAAACAAACATTTTTTTTTTTTTTTTTAAATAGTTTAAACAGAACTAGTTTACAGCCATGCTAGCGGCTCTGTTCTGTACTTGGACACAGTAGTGAATTTAGCTAAATACTAATGTTAGCATGCGATTACGCTCACAGTGATGATGCTAACATGCTGATGACAGGTTGGCAGGATTCAACTTTACCATGTTAATACAAATAGAAGTCTACTAGAATGCTCATATTGGACAAATCAATATTTTTTCTTGACCTGATGGTGGCACTACATGAAAAGTCAGAGGATCACCAAAGTTATTAGGCTTCATCCTCTGGCCACAACGAATGTTCCTACAAAATTTCATGGTAGTCCATCCAACAGTTATTGAGATACGTCAGTCTGGACCAAAGCAGTGGGCCGACCGACAGATAGACTGACACTAACATGGCTAAAAATAACATGCACTGCACAACATGATTTTGTTTTTGCGAAATTTGATCTCTGCTCTCCACGCAGACCTAAAGTTAATTTTTTATGTCCTTAACTTCTCTGTATCTTACAACAGGGGTAAAACTCTCAACCAAAAATGGTTGAATTCAGTATTGATTAAAATTAGTAGCCTAATTTATTGTTTCTAATTCAGCATTTTCAATGGATGCAACCTAACGGGAGCTTGCCAGCAAGCTGTATTGCCTTGATTAACACATTCATGAACTCACAATAATCATGGTGGTGAATGACACTAGAGCAGCAAAACACACAACCGGGCCATTCAAAACTTTGTATAAATTACTTGTGTTGCACACTGTCTTACTAAGCACCATTTCACCATCATCCATATACCAATATGAACTTCATATATGGAACATCAAACAGCCATCATCAACTACTGGGTACAGTCAAATCATCATCAAATAATTAGATGTATAACTGTCTAAACATACAGACTGTACTGTTACCACAGAGTCACAGTTCAATCCCTAACAGTCAATATGTCCATCCTCTATATAGAGAATGAAATAAATTGCGATTAATTACTGTTTCCAAAGTGACAATCTAAGTGGCAAATTTTAGGTGCAAGCATTTTCAACAACTTTCTTTGTGCTGTGTGTTTTAAAACTTCTTGCAACTTATTGAATTTATCTGATCGAATAAAAATATTTGTTTGGGATAAAAAAAGAAGTGTGTAGATGACCTTTCATGACCACATCAACATATTTGTATTCAACCTATATTTGGACTACGTCAGGCATATATGTATCACTAACTTAATTCCATTTTCTAAAGTCATAATACTGGCACTGGGACATTTTACTCTCCTCCTAATGTAAGATGTGCAGAGTGTGTTTACATGCACACTGTTTTCTGAATAACACTGTAGCTCATATCCATGTGAAAGTTGTTAGACAAACATTTCTCAGAGGCAAAACTATCCTGATACGTTAGCATAGAAAGGCTCCGCTAGCTAACTAGAAAAGTCAAATACTGATTGAAATATCAATAAAAAAAAAAACTTTCATTCATGACAATTGTATATTACGCTTTTGGGAAGCCTGTAGGCTAAATTAGCATGTATTGCTACAACCAAGTTTGTTCAGTCTAGGCTAGATGACCTAGATTACTTAGTAGAGCTCTAACAGTCTGACTGATAAATTGGCCGATATGAAATCAATGAAAGGCCATAATAATTTGAATATTTCACTAGTTTTGACATTTAACTCCTTCTGAATACATAACTGAATTGAAATTGAAATATCATTACATTTATATCAGTGAAATATTTTACTTTGAAATCTATTCGTCTTAAGGTATTTGGTTTGAAATTTGTACAATTGCAAAAACTTAGATTTTTTTCAAGGTTCACAAATTCAAAATTCAAGTGTCAAATATTCCCAAAACTCATAGTAAGTCAAATTCAGGTATAAAAGTTTAAGTCAGGTCAAAAAAATCAAGTGGTTTTAAAATGTATTGGTAACATTAAGACACTAAAATTTAATTTAAACTAATAATTTAATTGAATTTAATTCGACATTTAAATTTTAACAGTAGGTAGAGGAGCTGTTACATTTCAATGTTACATATTTAGTTTCTTATATAATTACGTTTTTTACTTTTTTGCTCCCATTTTTCCGCCTGGCAATTTATTGGCGAGGCTTTAACACGTATACTAAGTATCCAGTTGTGGTTAAAACTTCATAGTTTGGTATAGAGTTGAGTTGCTTACAGAGAAATGTAATCATTATGGCCATGGGCAATATTATTAGTTAATATTAGCTGATAAGTAACAGGAAGTAATAAGTCTGAGGTCACGTAGAAACAGTATTCTCATTAAATACTTTGCAGAGCGCTGACAAATTTATTTTCCAACTGTAAAATGTGTCAGGACATATCTTGATCACAGTTCTTTCATAACCAAATCTCCTTTTGTGGAGCTCCAGGCTGTACTTTTGTCAGACTCATTAAGAGGATGACTCATGCAGCTGTTGCTCTGAGTTTACCTTGTGTTCCTGGAGAAGTCTGGTAGGAACAGACAGTCATGAGTGAATTTTACCTACAATATTTCATATGATTGACTGGAACTGTTTTCAAGACGTCTGTTAATCAGCTATGGATTTGCTATGTGTAAAAATATTTGCAATATTTAAAGACCAAGAGGGGACCAGGGATGGAACCACCGAAGAGAAAACATCAACTACAACTACTGAAAAACTTCTAACAGTTATTCTATTGAAGCTACTTTTCAAGGTAAAACAACATATCAAGTACAGAGTGACAATCAACAGCATCAGCTGTTAGTAAAGGCTCCTTAACTGTATTTATGTAAAAATGAGAATACTGTCCAATACATTGTGATCAGAACTCTCCAATATCACTATCTGGCACAAAGATCTATCATTGGTTGGGATTTTTTGTCTCTATGGCTCCACCCACTTAAATTTAACTCAAACATTGAGATTATTTCTGAAGTTCTGCCTCAAAGAAATGTTTGAACAGCGGACACTAAAACATTCACGTCAGGAGATCCTGATGTACATATCAGATGTTTCTCAATATAGGACGTTAGTGACTATTCTCACTTTACCCTGCAGCCTGAGTGCAGGAAACTATGCAGCAGATGCATAGTGGAAGCTGCACACGAAATAGCCTCATAACACTGGTATATTCAAGTGAGCATATTCAGTTTTTTTTGTGATCTGGATAAGAGCAAATTTCTGAAAACAGAACGCAACGTTTCCCTGCACCAACTCAAGAATATAGTACATGACTATCCCGAATAACAGGATGTTGGAATGCATGTAAACCCACAGATACTGTAGTAAACACCAACAAATATACACCATTAGAAGCTCTATAAGCACATATTAGACTATTCACACCCTGTCTGCCACTGATGTTGAGAGAGAAGAGATGAAACAGACTGAATCTGGGCTACTGAACCACTCAACCTTCCACAGCAAGACGTTACCACTCCCTCATTGCACCGCTTTACTCACCGCTATCAGACCCACTTAATTGCTTAAGCCATTTAAACACTTTTAAATACATGTATAGAATATATACAAACAGTATGCCACCAGTTCAGACCTGAAATGCACGCTTCTGCCTGATTCCTTCCATCACTCGCAGAGAATTAGACTGGAAAAGATAAAACAAAGGCTGGGGGCGGGGCGTTCTTCTGTTATTTACCAGTTTTTGCCACTCATCAGAAATTTGTCGGCCATTTTGTTTCATAGTTTTCATAGTGTGGTGGCTATTTCCTTTTCAAAGTTAGTTTTTGTCATGGTGTGTCATCACTACAGAGGTTCCACTTCAGAATAAGAGTTGTGTCTTTAAAAATGAGGTGGACACTTAGTTCTTGATTTCGAATGACCCAACGCCATGTAACAGAAAAACACGTTTGTCCTCTTCGTAAGAATCCAGTCCAGTCCCAAAAAAAATTTAAGAGATGGTTCAGCGACCACGCAGTTCAAAAGAAGTACAACGACAACAAAATGACCTTCGTCCTTTCTTGTTTTGTTCCCATTTATTCTGCATTTGTCCCCTCTGTCACTCTATAAAGCACTTTGTGACGAGCCTGTTTATTAAAAGCGCTTTTTTTAAAATAAATCTGAATCAATCGCAGAGTCCTGGTACAATACAGTTAATGAGGAGAGGAGAAGTGAAAACAGATCATCCATAAATGATGTACAAGTTGTTGAATGTGGTTTCCGTGTTGATTGCCAAGCCGGTTGCCAGGAAGACACACAAGGAGGATTCTGGGTATTACAGAAGGTGCATTCTGGGATTGGTTATTGACTGACGGAGCTCTAAGCTGCTGGCAAATGGTAGATGAGGGATTGCTTTTCCTCTTTGTATGTCACCCTCCTCGTCCTCTCTCTCTTACAGTTGTCATCCTTGATATTCTTTTTGTTTTCCCCCGCCGTTCCCTGTCTGTGCAGTAAATGGTTGATTGGAATAAAATACAGCCCCGGTCAGAATGAAGGCAGAGCTCCTCCTCTTTGAGTCACAGAAAGGAGGTAGGAAGTAGCAGCAGTCTAGGAGGGTTTGGGAGTCTTCAGGGCATCCACTTTGGTCTCCAAGTCTGTAATCTGTGGAAACAACAACATAGTGGATGATAACTAAACACATATGAACTATATCAAACTTTAAAAGTGACTTGTTTCGCCATTAAGGGCTCAGTGCATTTTGGGGGTGTCAGGACACGTTTAGGATCAGAAAGAATACGTTATAGCTGGGCATGTTAGAGGCTGTGACATTCACGGCGCATCACGTTCATTACTCTCATCTCCTTTAAATGCAGAGCTTTCCTTGTCATGATGTCACTATTTAGGAAACCTGAGGAAACTTCTGGTTGTCCAGGACGTGGAGAGTTGTAAATGTGAATATATATGAATATGCAGCGGCTCAGACGCACTGATGAAAGAACGTTTTGTTTCTTTACTTTACCCTAACATTTCTGACATTATGAAGAATAGTCATCACAGTAATACATACAATAATCTGTAATTAAACAGTGCTGTAAGTAAAATAAAAGTGTGGTCTTTTCATGTTGATTTTTTTTTTTTAAATTTCGGAAATTATTTTAAAAGTTTCTCACTTCTTTAAAAGTAACAGTTCTATTCTGTCTGGAGACATCACTAGAAATTTGAACCTGGACAACCTTTATCACATAATGTTGCTCATCGCAGCCACATCACACTGTGGAGCTCCAGGCTGTACTTTCCCTCAGACTCATTAAAACGATGATTCACACACAGTTGATGCTCTCAGTCCCCTGGTGTTTCTGGATAGAGACACCAGGAGAAGACTGGTAGGAACGAACAGTCATGACTGAGTTATTCATGTTTTTCATGGGAACTGTTTTCAACGCGGCTGTGGATCAGCACCGGATTTGCTATCTGAGAAAATATTTGCAATATTTAAAGACCAACAGTAGACCACTGAAGAGAGAACATCACCCACAACGACTGAACACAAACTTCTGACAGATAAAATTGTCTTCTTTGTAACTTGGGTAAACCAACTCTTACAAACCAGGGGAACCCGTTTGGATAAGCGTTGTGCTTCAAGCTCCGTGTGAGAAAATGCAAATATAAACACAATAGAAAAACAAGGTGAAATTAGAAGTGTTTTTTATTTACCTTTTCCTGCAGGTTGTCCGTCTCTTCTTTGTGTGTTGCCTCGCTCTCTTCTTGCGCCCGACGCTGTGCTGTCTCCTTCTTCAGGTACTCGATCTCCCTATAGTGCACACACACACACACACACACACACACACACAAACACATTAAAGTTTTGGTATCATTTACTCCTCTCAGACCTTTGTTTTGTCCCTCCTTCCTTACTTCTGCTGGTATTCTTTGATCAGTCTCTTGGCTTTGCTGTATTTCCTCTCGAGGGTTTGGTACTGAGCCTGGGTTTCTTTCAGGTGTTCATCCACCGCCTGGAAACACACGTGCACACACACACACACACACACACACACACACACATACAGACACTGTCAGTAAATGAAAACAACTAGTTTCTGACAGACTATAAACCGATCAGTAGGGCTTTGGCACTGATTTCCTGATTCAATTCGATTCTAACTATGTGTCTCATATTGTCTCTATTAAGCAACTCATTAACTGAAATTACACATTACTGTCAAGTTGGAACAGTATGGACAATAGGGACAGTAACTGATACACACAAGTGGAGAAAGTTATGGCTTGTTTGGGCATGGAACAGCTTATGAGGTCGGTAAATTTTTATCTTTCTTTATAGCTACAATATTTTCTAAAGCTAACCACAGGCAGCGCCAGGACGTCACACCTGGGGAGACTACAAGTCAGCAGTTCTCAAACATTATGAATTTGTGGGGGAGCGGGTTGTCTTGGGTGTGCAGTGTTTGGGTCATACAGCCCAGGTGCAAAAGGACGGGATGAGGTGAGCAGAGATATAATGGTCTGGTTATTATTAAACGTGTCAGCCAGTCACACCTCTGGTCTCAAAGCGCTGACGACTCAACAAACTGAAGAATCGGCTTCTGTCTTATGTGGTCTGGATGTTGCAGAGCTGCACGACTTGAACCCACAACAGTTGATTAATAGCAATAGAAATGATGAACAAAACGTTTGGTGAAGCTTTTTATAGGATTCTATCAATCTAATGCTCTTTCAGTCTTTCTTCTACTGTATCTCAGGTCGTAAACGCTCAAATCACAGCAGTGTTTGCACCAACACCCATTTCATAAACAGGAACCATGGAAAAAAAAAGAAGGGTGATGACGCACAGGATTAATGAGCTCCAGTAATCCGATGTCCCCGGTATGATGCAGAATACTGAGCTCTGACTGACCATTCTGTGTGTAGAGGTGTGTGTAGAGGTGTGTATGTGTGTGTGTGTTTAGTCTGTAGCAGCTTGGTGTCATTTTCAGATTTAATCGAGGTAAACACGGTGGATGGTTGTGCATAATGGCAGTGTGCCCTGGCGTGGCACTTCTGAAATCAGAAGATTTAAGATTTATCAACATGTCTGTTGTCCTGCTGTAAATAATCAGGAAAAAAAAACAAACCTTCGATTCATGAGTCACCTCCTTCGCTTTCATTGTTTATTCTCTAATAAATTACCTTACACAGGGACTGTGCCTCCATCCAGTAGCCCTCCAGTTTCTCCATCCTCTCTTTACTGTCCCGGATGTTTTGCTCCAACTGAGCGCGCTCCATCCGCCAACGCAACTTATCCTGCTCTGCGTGAGCCAGCTGGAGGTGAGGGGGTCAGCGAGGGAGGGAGGAGGTGGCATGTGGGAGGTAGAGCAAACGTTAAGTCATCGTTCAGCCAGAAAAAGAACTGATGTTATGCTAGTGTACATTCTCCACTGCAATACAGTATCACCTGGTTATTTCAGTGCATCTCATTTCTGCATGTTAAGATTGGATTGAACGTTAAGTTGTCTTACCTTTCTCTTTAGCAGCTGGATCTCCGCCTGGGTTACTGCATGTTTGATCTGGAGCTACAGCCACAGACAGAGAGTATAAAAAGAAAGATGAAAACCAAGATGATAAGGCTAAAACTGGGGAACAGATAAACTACGAGAGAAATAAACGAATAAAACAATTACACTCAGGATCTAAATGATCGAAATCACATATAATACCTCCTTGAATTTGTGGGCCAGCTTCTCGGGGTCCAGCTCCACAGGAGACAACATGTCCTGGTTCTCCGCCAGGTCGAAAACCTCAATGGAGTTTGGAAACACAGGACTCATCTCCTCCTCTTCGTCTGTCGCATATTCACCCGTCTGCAGGCAGAGATGTGGATAGATAAAAATAAAAAACATTTTAATAATTGCAATACTTTCTAAATATTGGGTTTTTATTTGAACATTTTTTGTATTGTGCATTTGCTTTCTTGCCGAGAGAGAGATGAAAAAAATACCACTCTCCTACGCATGATGTAAATATGAAGCAGCAGCCAGTTAGCTTATCTAAGCATCTTTCTCTTAACAAAACAGGGAGAAAAGGAATCAGAAATCAGCCTACACACACCAATAAAGCTAACATGTCTTACATTTTGTTTCTTTTCTGTACAAAAACAAAATGTACAAATGACACATGGCTTTACCGTAGTGTTAATGAGCTTTTGAAGTGCTGGTAGGCCGATTTTGTCACCTTTGTGCTAAGCTAAGCTAGCTGTTTTCACCATTTCCTGTTTTGGTGCTAAGCAAACCGGCAGCTAGCGTTAGCTTGAGAGTGGTATCGAGAAAGTATTTCCCAAAATGTCAAGCAAATTCCTTAACATGTAACTTGAGGATAACAGCGATATCAAACTCCCAGTTCCAGTCCTTTCTCCCTTTATAAGCTGCTGTATAATTTAATTTGAAGGAGCATGTGTCAAATAAAATGGTATAAATGGCAGCTAGCCTGAAGCAGACCACAAAGGTATTAAACAAATGAACTGAAAGAAGAAAGCTCTTGCTGGTGGTTCAGACTTCACCTTCTGAAGTGTAACCACCTCCCACTCAAAGGTTCAACACAATCGATAACAGTCTGCCAATCATTTGTCTTCTTCTTCTCCTCTACATTACAAAATAAATGATCTTTACATTAACTCATGTCTGTCCAGCTTGACAGCAACTTGACTGCTGACAAAAATGCAGTAACGAAAATGTAGTATTGCACTTATATATCATTCTACTCTACTCAACGACGAGCTAGCTTTCTGACTGCATCTGCTATTAGGCAACATCAAACCCGACAGCATGCCGTCTACATCAGTATCCTCTGCTGAATCGTTCACTCACAAGTCCCCCGACATCGTAGAAGAGCAATAGTAAAATCCTGCAGCCCTCCTTTAAATGTATATATTCTACATTCAGTGTGCACTGTGAATTATTATGCGTTATAACCTACATCTAATTTATGTAATATCATATATTTTTATATGTTAATTTATGATTTGGTCGGATTCTTTGTTCGTTGATTTTTAAGTAGTTCAAGAGTTTCTATCGTGAACTCTTTGGGTCATCTTTGGACAGTGTTTATGTTGTATAAATATCAAGACAGACGGTGGTTGTAATCCCTGTTTAGATGAATGATGAGCTGGGCTGCAGCCAGGATCTGAAGGAGACCGTTATGGGTAGTAAATGTGACTGTCTTCAATGCTAGCTATGGTGCTGGACTGGTCATAAGGAATGGCAGCTGTTCAGTTGCACTGGAATACCTTATTTAATGTCTAGTAGAATTTACATTCAATTACATTCAGAAGAAGTAAATATATTTCAGTGGTTAAGTGTAATATCCTTTTCATGGTTTTGAAACACTCCAGCATTATGTGGTTACTGTTGTAGTGTCTGACTGTGTGTTACCCTCTCTGGCCACAAGATGGAGAAGTTGGACTGAGTTGGAAACTACAGGCCACGTGGTGACATACAGACGACATTTTGTCATACACACACAGAAAGACACACACACATGTACAACACAATGTATCTTTCTCTGGTCTCTCTCTCTCTCTCAATCCTCCCTCTCTTGATTTCCCGCACCGAATGAAAACTCAAGCTGACACAGCAACATCAGCTGAAGATGTTCTGAGTTAATAAATGTGGCTTCAGAAAACCTGCTCCATAAACACACGTCTGAGCACCTGAGGATTTTTTTAGGTCTTGTTTTATTCAGTCTTGTGTATGTTTGTGTGACACTGTGTGTGTGTGTGTGTGTGTGTGTGTGTGTGTGTGTGTGTGTGTTAGACGTAGCATGTACCTCTTCATCATCGTCCATGTACTGTTTGTATCTCTGCTCCATCATCTCTCTCTGCCATCTCTCCTGTTCCAGAGTCTGCTGGATCAGCTGAGCCACTTCGCTCTGCTCCCCCGGCTTCTCTCGGCCAATCACAAACCTGGAAAACATTCAACACGCACCAGTAACAAACCTGAAAATATTCAAAATCCGTCAATCAAGTTAAAGAACTCAAAACACACAGTTATGAATGTGAGAAGTTCAAACACAGAGCAACTGTAAACCTGAAAACATTTCACACCCTCAAATCACAAACATTAAAACCATCAAACTGCAAACCAGAGCACAAAAAAATGCACACAACACAAACCTGAACATTTCAGCACATACCAAAGAAAAACCTGAAAAATATGCAGCTTATATCACAAATCTGCAAATAAATACATTTCTTTTTGTAGATTTAGCAAATCAAATGATCTATTAAGGAAAGAGAGAGTAGTGTGTGTGTGTGTGTATATATATGCGTGTGACAGACCTGACAGTGCCGGTGGTGTTGCGGAGGACGGAAGCAGCAAAGCTCTGAGTGACGCCGACGAGGCTGGTCCCATCAACCTCCACTATCAGATCATTCACCTGGATCCTTCAAACACACACACACACACACACACGGAGAATTTACTCGAGTGGAAACAGAGGAATGGACGGAGCACTGCGTTAAACATACATGGTTATTTCATATTATCTACACATGGAGACAAATATTGGAGGTTGCCGCTTGGATTTTTCCAAACACCCAGTTGAACTTTAAAGTATTTGAAACCCAACTAAGAAGAACGCTTCAAAAAACTACCAATGCCTTCGGCCGCGTTCGTCTGTCACATGATCATTGTCTCGTAGGTCGTACTGGTTCCTCGGGAGTCTCGCCTCCAGCCACTCAGTTTATGCTAAGCTTGGCTAAACATATCTCAACCTCCGTCAGTCTTCCCAACTCACTCTGATAAAGACGGCAAAGAAGCGTCATTTCCCAAAATGTTCAATTATTTCTCGACCATGCTTTTTTTTTTTTCAGTCAGATTTCTACACGTCATTGATAAGACGATTGATGAGATAAGATTGATAAAGAGCTCCTGTGTGAACCATGTATAGACAGACTGTGTTTAGACAGCAGAAGACCTTACCTGCCGTCTCTCTGCGCAGCTCCACCCTCGGTGACCGTCTTAACGAAGATCCCCAGTTTCTCCAGACCCATGTCAGCTCCTGCACCCATACCTATGATACTGATGCCCAGACCATCACTGTCTGAGAGACAAACACACACACACAGACAGAGAGAGAGAGACACAATATAAATATTGAAAATGAAAGTATTGATGTGTATCTTGAATTATAGTATTATAGTATAATGTCTCAGTTCTTTCTACAATGGAAATCAAATGTCAAAATTGTCAAAAAGTTCCTACAAATGTGTTGCACTTGCAGGTTTCTTTGCTTTCAGCTTGTGTCCAGTTAAACACCACGGCGTCTGGAGACTGGGCCGTTCTCCATCATGTGAAGACTCCGTCTAGTTCTTTTATTCTGTTTTGGCTCATAATCTTGCAGTAGGATGAACCTCTAACCGACCAGTCTGTCTACCTCTGTCACAGTCCTACTTCCTGCAGTACAGTACTGTCCTAACAACGCATCGGAGGGTGAAGTAACACAGTTTGTTCCGGCGCTGCCTTCATGCAAACAGAGGGGTTTGTCAGCAATCAACACGTAGGAATCGTTTGCATCAGCTTTCTTTATTTACTTCCACCGCTGCGGGAAAGCTGGACGTTCACTGATTCTTTCATCTCTGAAAAATTTACATGATTCTTCTGTTTTTTGTTTTTTTTAAATCTTTTTTTTTCTTTACATTGGGCAGTTTACCACTTACCTTTTTTAAAGTCAATCACTCGACTTGAGCTGCTAAAATTTAAATAAAAACTGGAAAAATAAGGGTGTTCTAAAACTTTTGACCGGTAGTGTATATCCTTATTCATAAGAATCATATTATTACATATAATCAGAAATATACATTGTATAGATTCATAGATCACTGCTCAGTAGACTGATGTATTCATTTGTGGTTTATCCATATTGTACCCTTATAGCAAGTGTGCTGCGGCAGCCAAACCAATAATATATTATGTCCATTTTCTATTTTATTAAACATTGGTGAGTATTACAGTTATTATGCTGTTCTGAGAGCAGCCGTCATGGATGGTTGCTGGTTCAAATCCATTGCCTCTAGAATTACTAGTTGCTAATTAGGCTAATCCGCGCTAAATTTAATCCCATAAAAGGATAATGGAGTTGTCCGCTAACAGCACCCTGTCAGTTATTGTGTGCACATGTGTGTGTGTGTGTGTGTAGTTATATAAGAGGCTTGACTGAGTGACTCTCAATGATTGTTAAAATGTGTGTGTGTGTGTACCTTTCTCCAGCTCAACGGGAAACAGGTCCAGCTTCTCGACTCTCTTCTCCAGCTCGTACTCAGCCGAGGCCGCCATGGGGTCGACATCATCGTTACGTCGATCATAGTCTTCGTTAGAGTAGGTGGTAAAGACCTACACACGGGGCAAAGATCAAAGGTCAGATGGCCTCAGTCTCTTGTTGCATTTTTTGCATAACTCCTAATGACCTGTTATACAAACCAGTGGTTTTCTACATAGTGAACAGGGGCATTCAGAAGGTTCTAGCTAACAATGACAGTCACACACACTTCCCATGTTTTAAACAGTTGTACAGTGGTTCTTCATTGCATATCATTAGCACACATGTGCTTGTCAGCCAATAAGTGACCTGTAATCAACCAGCTCTACTACCTCCAATAGCTCAAATACCAGCACTGTCAGTGTGGCAGCACGTCTCCATTTGACCGCAGGGATGTTCAGAGGCTGGAAGAGGCTCCATCCCACTCTGGCAACTGCACATTTAAAAGACTGGACCAGCAGCTGGTCTGCAGCAGTTCGCACTTATATTCCATTAGAAGGAAGAGAACGCAGGAGAATAACCTACATGATACATGCAAACAGTAGAGATCTGCAACATTTTCCCTCTTCACAAAATATAGGTATATATTTCAGCTTTTCCCTCTTCCCAACTCTTCTCCCGCTCTTTATCCCCCCCGCCCCCAAATCTCCTCCCAAAAAGGTCAGGCGAATCTGTCTCCCTGCTGACCATCTCTGTGATCACGTGGCTTGGTTTCCACAGCAACCACAGGCTTGCCCAGCATGGGTTTGGCAGGGGCACTGATTTGCTCTCTCTCCCTGTCCCTGTCTGGCAGATATGCTAATGTGTGTGTGTGTGTGTGGGTGTGTGTGTGTGTGTGTGTCCATGTGTGTGATATACATAGAGACACAGCCAAAGGCTTCTATGTGTAGGAGGTGCTTGTTACAGGATTAACATACCCCTGAATGTAGAAGACAGGCATGTACACACACACACAAACACACACACACACACACTCTGACAAACAGGGTCTGAGGGTGTGATTGTTAAACTCCTTCCTGTTGTCATATTTCCTTCCTGTTGAGTAACTTTTAAGCTGTGCCTGTGCGTGCGCATGAAGCTTCAGAGCGTTCCCAGCAGACATCAGGAACACACAATCCCTCAATCTCAGTCTGAGACCGGTTTATTTTACCAACATCTGTTCACATTTTGCCTGGTGGGCAACAATAAAAATATTCCCAATCACCTGTTAGTAGTTCCTGTGACTTTGACACTGAAGAAAACATGATGATTCTCAGGTAAGTTCTGGAGTTATTCATTTGCAATGTACATACGAAATAATGCAATCAAATCAAATTGAATATAAAAATATGTTTAACATGGCTGTGTGTTTGACACATTTATGACGATTAAGTGTCAGTTTTAGTGTCAGGTTATAGCAGCATAACTGCCTCCTCCAGCTGAGTCACAACAACTTCTGCTGCTGTAAATGTTGATAAATGGACGCAATAATATTAAACAAGCATTTCATGGCTTATTTGTGACAGTTTGCAAGTGTTTTGACTTTTAATATGTGTACATGGTATGGGGGCATCTGGGGGTCTAAGAACTGAAACAAACTGACCCGGTTTACAAACACGGCCTGTGAAATTATTGGGAGGGAGCAGAAACAGCTGGAGTGTGTATAGAGACTGCAGATGAAGCAGAAAGCTCGTGTGTTATCCTTTGTATCCATTCTTTAAAAGAATTCACAGAACTGCCCTCGGGAAGACGCTGTGGAGCCGCAACAGCAACCAAAAACATTTACATAAAGTCCTTTATACCAAGTGCAATGACTTGTGACTCGTAAACATCATTCACACTGGAATCATGTCCATTTTTGTTGTCTGTTCTGTGCGTGTTGTTCAATAAATATCATCATTATACGATATTTATGGTGTATATACCATTTTCTTTTTCAGATAACTAGTCTATATCATGCACCTTGGCTTTATTTTGTTGCTGCAACACTTTGATTTGATAGTAGGTTATAAACGTCACCATTACTGAGCTGTGAAATTGACAATAGTTCAAAAAGTTCAAAATGAACAAATCTATGTGCAGTGAAATGCACTAAACAATCAGCACTCATCAACGACACAGCTGAACTGGAACTGAATTGGTGGAAAAACAAGATATGGACATTATAAAAGAGGTCAAATGTCAAAAGCACTTGGGAGCATCAGGTCAGTGTGTGAGTGCCGTTTTCCTGACACAAGTCTATAGAACAGATCTCGATAATAATAGATATGTAGTTTCATTAGAAACATTGCTATCAACACTGGCTAACAATAAGTACAACCAATGAACACCAGGGCCTAAGGTAACATCTTTAAATCAAGTGAACGTAAAAGGCATTCAGTTTACAGTGAAATAAAACTGAGGAAAGCAGCAGCTCGTCATTTCAGTCACAAGACTGACATCAAGGTTTTATGCTTTTATTGCTACAATAAAATGCATGTTAGCTTGGCTCTGCTCATGTGATGCTCTGGAACAAATTAGCTTAGCTCCCCTTGCAGAGCCTGAGATGGACAACGTTTGATGAACATGAACTAAATGCTAATAATAATAATAATAAAGACGTCCACATTTTTGATTGAGAAATGTCTTCAACGATGAATTGATTATACAGTAAAATGTTTGTCAATTAATTCATTCAAAGCAACAAAACAAACAAAAACAACAACTAATCAATACTACACTTGAACAGTGAAGTCAGTGTTCAGATTGAACTTTATTTATCCCCATAGGCACTTAACAGCATAAATAGACTGTTTATTGATTCAAATATGCCAGAAAGGGGCATTAATGACTTGTTCTGAACGGTTATATATAAACACAGCCTTCTGCATCCTGACTTTAAGATGTTTGAGTGGACTGGATCAAATACAAGGTAGAAGAACTTTTTCTTTTTTTTTTTTTTTTTTCTTACAACGCTGCCTCTTGAATGACAGCCTCTGCATAATCTGGCCCATCAAACACCAGCCACTGCTCCACTGGGCCAAAGCCAAGCCACAGAGAGCTGCAGCAGGAGGCAGGGTGAACCTCCAACAACGAGGCTGTGCTGCCTCTCTGCTCTCGTGGTTCTTTGTTTGTTGCTGCGAGTTGTGTCTTGACTCAAGGCCACATTAAATTACAACCAATCAAACACTCTAAAGAAAATTCAGGTCATCACATCAACAGCTGGATGGTGGGAGTGAAAAGTGTCTGTCTGTTAGACAGTAATCAGGACATCTGGGCAGGAGGGCTCACAGGCTCTCAGTGTGGCCTGCAGCTGCTGTAATGACTGAACACATTTTAGCACCAAGTGTCATGTGTCTATGTGATGCTATAAGTTAAATCTAAACTGAGGGGTTATGCCACAATAACAAAAAACAACAGTTACCACATAAGCAATGATAAAGAAACAAAAAAAAAAAAAATGAAATAAACACTGCAGCTAAAAACAGAAGCAGGCTAATCCATGTAGGCTGAGCAGTGAATTAGCCTGAGTCACTACGGTCAGATGGATGTCAGACAGGTAACTGCATTCAACGGCAAGGCGGTTACTAGATAGTATTGTCCCTCAGGTTTTACGGGCACGAAACACAGCTTTACATTAGAGGAGCATTAACCCATTTTAAACAGAGATCCCACTTTACTGGCTGACTACCAAGAAGTAGCCTGACTCATAAAACCCTGTCAAACTGCAAGTTGTTTGTTTTTCACTTTGGTTTTTGTATGAATTAAAGAAACAAAATACAAAGTGTTACTACAACAGAAAACAACTTATTTATTAACTATTTTGATCAATTGTCTAAAGGGGCTATTTGTTAGTTTTCCCGTCCGTCAAACGTAATCTGTTGCCAGGAGCAGGTGGAGGTGATTGTCGCTTGACAAGAGCTTCGGTCATCGTTGTGTTTACAAGACTAGAGGTTATAATACTCCCTCTGAGCAGCGCTACGTCTTCAGGGCAGATTAGAGGCTACAGTGAGTTACTATCAGAAAGTGACGAGATGAGCGTAGCGCGTTAGCATGCTAACTTCAGTAGAAAAAAAAAAAGATGTGATAGAAACAAGAGTTACCATTGGTGTTTGTTTCCACCTCTGGACACAGCTCTTGGTGAGTAAAAGAATAAAGTTTGATGCTGAACTCACAACAATTCTTCTAGACTGGTCAGTAAACAGCTGTTAATGCTAACGTTAGCTATATTGTGCCTTTCACTATTTTATAATGTTTTATAGACTAAGCTAATAATCAATTAAACAAAAGATTAAGATAATCATTCGTTGTGCAGCTTAGATGGATGGGGTTCAGTCACAGTGGCCATGTAATCTGTAACTGTGTACCTCATACTGTTTGTCTCGAATATGTCTAGATTTTGTCACTTCTTTGCAATGTAACAAGATTTTCATTTTTGTAAATTCAACTGAGCGAAGTCGAGGTAATGTGATCTGACTTTCTTTTGCTTTTCAGCCACCAACAAATCTCTCAACACGTAAAGGTGGGATCGGTGTGAAATGTACATCCCACCTGGTATTGACCACGTCAGTTTTGGTGACACGATCTCTGGATTTCTGGCCAAGGTGCTGATCCAGGGAGCTCCTGAGACACAGGAGCTGTCGGGGATTCACCGTTATTCATGCTAACGGGCAGGGCTCAAGGCTCATGGGATATGCTGTTTCAGTCATCTTTGCCAGATTGTCGAAATGGACCGAAAACCACTATTGCACAGTTTATGCAACACAGGCCCTCTGATGTGCTTTGGTAAGTATTTGAAAAATGTTTCTAGCCGTGCAGATGTGCATGTCATAAAGCTGGAACACAGTTTGAAGCAGACGTCAGCAAAGAAGATAAAATTAAGTTCTGACAGATGGACGACAAGAAAAATTCAGACTGAGTCATATCTGGTGGTGACAAGTCTTCGGGCGTTGGCATTCTCCTGGGTTATAATTTGGTGGAGCTGAGGGAGACGCTGGCAGAAGAAACCCTCTCTAGGATGTACATTTCAAGCCAATCCCACCTCTATCTCATGTTCGGGCAGTGATGGCACTGTAGTAGGAGGCCAGGTAACAGGTCTTCAGATGAAGAGAGAATTTGATGACTAATTTGAACTAGTTCAAAAAATTTAGTTGAATTTGCCATGTAATCCTACAAAAAGGCTTTATACAACTTTGATGCAGCGGTACCCCCCCCCCCCCCCCCCCCCCCCCACCTGACTGGGCTTTGATGTGTAAAATCAGGAGTTGGTCTTTTATGATTTCAGCGTGGATCAGGTGCTTCTCTAAACTCTTCAGCTCATATAAATACACACGCCAGGTGGTTTTTACATCCAAACAAAGACCTGCTCTGTGATTCTTATCAATCAGCTTCCCCTGCTTCAGTGTGTGTGTGTGTGTGTGTGTAGGTGTGTGTGCCTCTTTCAAGGAAAACAAACACACCCTGCCACATTCCAGCTGCTTTTTACAGACTCACAGAGGTGGCCTTGTACACAACTCAGCACAGACAAATCCGCCGAGTGTGTTCATCGTCATCCAGAACCGTCAAATAACAAAAAAAAAAAAACTTGCTGCAATGTCACGGCGTTAAGGAAAGTTTATAACATGACGTTTCTGTTGAGTCAGGCCGGAGACTTGTTCAGCGCTGGAGGAGGTCTGAGCTCTCCTGGCTAACATTTGCTTGATGAAGTTACTCATGATGTCAGAACAATAATCACCGACTAGTTTTGAAATTGAGTAATAACACCCAACATGCCCGGACAGTGAGTCTGCTGATTGTCTTTTCTGTTGCCTGCAGCAGAACACCTCTCTGAACACGCAGCACAAGTTACTGGTTCAAATCCAGCAAGGAAGAGCAGTCACACTGTCACAGGGATTCATTCTCTCCGTGTGATGCCATGTTGAATCCTTCATGGATACAATTACAATGTACTCCATTCAAATATGAATTTGCAGCGATGCGCACAGAAACAGTAACTGCAGTCTGTTTTTATTCCAACAGAAAAAATTATGAAGTATGATTGCCACATACTGCACACGCATCCTGATCCTGTTTGCACAAGGCAAAAACCCAACCATCAATTTCTTACTTAAACTATGAAAACGGTTTTATTACCGACTTCGTCCTGGATGTGACTGCAGGCTCGCTGTTGTCTGTGGCTAGGTACGGTTGATGTAGCTTTAAAATAAATCTCACTGGCTGGTGCACATTGCTCACAGTGAGAGTACCCTCTGAGGAGATGAGGCAGAGATAGAGAAAGAGCTGAGGGAGGCAGCTGCAGGATGTGAGCCTTTGCAAAGTTTCAAAGCAAGCAGCCTGCAAACAGCTGAATCACTTTAACTTACTGTAAATGTCCAGCAACCAATTCTTTATCTTAAACAAATACATCTTTGTATTTTTTTCTTAAAACTGAAAATAGGGACATTTAATAACAATAATGTTGGTTTTCACTCACTGATTATAAAACATCACGTTTGGACAATTGTGACACTTTATGTGTGTGTTTGTTTGCTTAATTCTGAGAACATCTGGCTGCACATCTGTAGCACATGCCGGTTTGACATGACTGGCTGGGCAGCTAACAGCGGCAGTTACCTTAGTCGCAAACAGCACTGCCTCAGACCACAACTCCACTTTTAGCTGCGCTGTGTGGCTAAAGACGACTGTGGTCAAATGTTTCAAGGACCAAGAAAATGGAAAGAATTTCTTTTTGACCTGACGCCTGCCCTGAAATAAAACACATTCCTCCTTCGACCACCTGCACAAGTGGACATGGCGGAGGAGTGTGATCTTGACCGTCAGTGTCCAGTACGTATGTGATGTGTCATTTCTCACAATATTATATCCTTCCATTTTCTGTTCTTACGTGGTATATTATCACGTTATATTCAACGGTCTCTCTCAGGAAGTGCGTTGTTGATGTGACAACTCTGTCATTGCACGGCTCAACTAGCTGACTGCCGCAGTGAGAGGGAAGGAGGTGCGGTGGGGGGTTGCGGTGAGGGGTGCGGTGGGGGGGCTCTTAGTGGAATCGAGCAATACAGTATAGAGAAGAGCTTCTGTTGAATCAAGATCTATGTTCAAACACACACACTAAAAGCCGAGTCAGCAGGATATACTGTGGCGAAATCAAAGAGCGAAACCCCCCCCGCCCCCCCCAGCAACTCGTACGTGTGTGGGTGCGTGTGTGTTAAGTTAAAGAAGGAGGAAGTCAGTGAGTCTTTTCAGTCATTTCCTTATTCTGTACACTTTTTCTCTTTTAGCTCCTATGGTATGGTCGATAGCAGAACACATACAGGGACTTCACCAGTGTCCTATACAACAGTCTGACTCCATTAAAGCTGCATTAATTGATTTGACATATAAAGCTGTCCAACATGTTAGCGAACTGTTTAAGCATCCAGCACACACAGGGGCAACATCAGCATTCCTTGGCTACGAAATGAATGTATATCGCCTTTTCCTTTAGCCGTGTTTTGGTTTGTTAGGATTGATGAGAGCAGTGAGAATGAACAGATCAAAATTTCCCCATCACCCCCCGTGTGCTCGGGATATTCACTGTCCCCAGAGGATGTATCCTAATACTCCTGGTGATTCCTTGGCCTTTTAACTTCCACGTGTGCAGAGGAAATATAAAAATCTAATCAGGCAGACTGCTGTAAATTTTAAGGAGCTTTCTTGCTCCCCAGAGGATTTCTATCCAGTTATGTTATTAATGAAGCACTGGAGTGGAAATGACCACAGCTGAATATTGAGGTCACAGAGGAGTTCCCTAAAGAAGGAGGCGCTCAGTACTGGCTCCCCACAGACCTGACATCAACTGGGAACTGTCAAAGCTACAAATCCAATCATGTTTTTCACAGTGTGTTGAGAAGAGTAATGACATCCTACAAAAACTCACCTTGATTGGCTCAGTGCTAAATTGAATCTTCCTATTGGACGGCGCGGGCTCCTCTTCCTCAGGGAGGCCGGCAATCTCAGAGCAGCTGGTCTCCGGCTGATACGCCTCCTCATCTTCCTCATCCTCCTCGTCGTCCAGTTGGCTCCCTCCAGAGTCCTCCTCCCCAAGCCCGCTGTACGCACTGATATCCACCAGATCCCCCTCCGAGTAATCCTCCTTCCTCGAGCCATCATCATCATTCTCGTCCTCCTCTTCCTCTCCTTTCTCCTCCTCCGAGGGAGAGGAACCTGGAGGTTCTTTTTCTCCGTTTTCCAACGAGGCGTGAACCTCCGCCTGCACCAGCCTGGACCCGGCCTCAGACCCCCCGGTGGAGTCGTCCTGCTCGCCAGCTTGCGGCTCACGTTCAGGGGCAGCCACTGTACTCGAGCCCCTGGCCTCAGTCGCTGTTGGATGGGCTTCCGACTCCGGCTTGGCCTCTGAAGAGGAAGAGGAGGAAGTGACGGCCACTGAGGATGACGAGGAGTAGGAGGAGTTGGACAGCTGGTCTCCTGACTGTCCGAACGCTTCCTTCTCCTCGCTGGCCACCACTCCCTCTACGCTCCTCTGCAGAGAGCCTGTCATTTCTGGTAGCTCTGCTCCTTGAGTGCTCACACCTCCTGCTGTCTCCACCTCGGGGTCCTTACCTGGAGGCAACACCTTCGCCTGAGAGAGAGAGAGAGAGAGAGAGACAAGGAGAGATCATCGATCAATTCATAGCTTTTGGTTAATGCATTTTTATTTCATCAGCTTTCTTTCTTGATTTCCTGCATTTTTTAAAGTTAAGTACACCCCCCACACCTTCCTGCTGACAGCCTCCCCTCTGGCTGGAGGTTTGGGCTTTGGTGCTAGGGCAGGGGCTGACCGACGCTGGGGGAGGTAGAGATTGTTTTGCAGTTCGCCCTTCTCAAACACGGCACTGAGCTGGCTCACAGTGGGGCTGACGGCCTCACCGGGCCCGACTGAAGCCGCAGCAGCAGGAAGAGTAGGGGGAGTGGGAGCGGGAATAGGAGCAGGGGGGTCGTCCAGCCGGTCCAGAGCCTCAGTGGAGCCATTAAAGCGAGCCACAACGTCTAGACGGCTGCCCTGGAAGCCTGACGCCCGCTCCTTCTTCAGGAGGATCCGGTTAGTGGCCGCTTGCTTCTCCTGGAGGAGACGGTCAGTCAGTCAGTCATTGATTTCTGGATGACCTGATGAAATAAAAAGTATTTACACGACACACAAGTGAGTAAAACAAAGAGCCTTCTGACCTGTAGAGTCCGCTGCTCAAAGATCCTCCTGGTCTCCTGCAGTTTGGAGAGACCCATGGCGGAGCATCCGCCCTCCCCACCTGCCTTAGAGTCAAACCGGTTGACCCTCTCTGAGACCGTGCCCCCGAGTTTGAGCAGGGCGCTGTGGTCGACGTTCTCGTTGAGGCTGGATGCTCTCGGCAGAGACAGTTTAACCGCCTGATCTTTACCTGCCAATGACAGGAAAGCTCATTGAAAACCTTCCATGTTCACACGACTTAGGTGCATGACTTTCACTGTTGTTTCTGACACAGTTCAAACCAAGTTGACCACAGTAAGAAATGTCCGACAGGGAAATGAAACAAACACTTGAACTTTAGAGAACTAATGTGGTCTTGTGCACAACAAATTTCAGCAGTTACTAAGTTAAGTACTATAACTGATTGAGATAATGGCCAAAGCTAAAAAAGAACCAGCTGTAATAAACCAGAACAGGCCTGTAAGTGAAAGTGAAAGTGCAGCTTAGTGTAACTTGAGTTAATCTTCCTTCCCCTTACTGTATTGCATCAGTGTAGATGGTTTTTCATTCTGTATGTTAGTGGACAGTTGTGACTTTTCTTTCACCTTTTCATGCTAAAATATTCAGAACAAATACTTTCTAAATATTGTCCAAAACAAAGGACAGCACCAATTCAAAGAAAAGACTTAAGTCATAAAAGTAAGCTTTCTGTTTTATTTCACTCCTGTGTCATATGGCTCGATTATGTTGTAATAGACAGGAAGTGGAGCCTGAAGTAACCACAGGTAATGTAACTAATATTTTATTTTCTTCCAGTTGTAGTTCCCCTGACACTGTTGATGTTAAAAGCTTTCACAGAGATCTAACCGCTGAGACACCTTACCAATCATTTTGGCTCCGTCCTCCTCATCACCAGGAGACTGCATCTGCATGAACATGTTCTTGATGCGGTGAACGTTTGATCCGTATCTCCTGCCCCTCCCGGTCGGGCGGGGCAGCGGGGCGGGTTTTGAGGCGGGCTCAGAGCCTCCGTTCGCGGCATTGTTGAGGTGGTCGGTGGCCTTCTTCAGCGCCGCCAGCCCCGCCTCGTAGGCATTGCGGTGGGGTGAGGGACTCCGCAGGTTCGAGCTCCCGCTTCCCCCGCTGCTCCCACCCGACGCCCCGTTGCTCCCCGTGGCCGACGGGGGCTCAGTCTTCATCATGTTTGGTAAATCAGATCCTCCCTGATGAACAGCAGGTCAGCAGGGATGAGGACGGCAGCATCCTGGAGCTGTTTGACATTCACCTCCTGAATCACACAGAGAGAGAGAGATCGATCGATTACATTTGTGATTAATCATTTTCTATGATATCTAATCAATAATAATAGACGTCCATAACCCAAAGCACTAAACAACTAATTGATAAATAATTGATTGAGAAGAGAAGAGAAGAGAAGAGAAGAGAAGAGAAGAGAAGAGAGATCGGCTGTTTGAGGTCAGAGGTCACAGTGACACAAGCCAGAGCTTGAAATTATTATTATTGTAACTAACTTGTTCAAACTAGTGATGTTTTCTCCACAGACTGAGGCTCCTGCTCTGTGTAAAGTGTCAAAGTATCCACATGCACATAATATATAACACCACGTACTTCACTCCTCTGATTGGTCCAAATGATTCTCTCCTGCTGTACTCAAGAGAAGGACTGTGACCAGGCTACAGAGAAAAGCAGCAAATTCTCACATTTAAGAAGCTGGAACCAGCGAATGATTGCCATTTTTGTTTGATTAAACCGATAAAATAATTAATCAATTGTCAATTTGCTGATGATTAATTTTCTATCAGTCGACTAATGGATTCATTATGTAAGCTCTAGTCAAAAAGAACATAATCTGCATTCAAAACTGCATTTATCGTTGGTAAGACCGCAGTGATTGTGATGCTCCATGTGAGTAGATAAATTATTTTTTAATTGACAAAATCTAAGTAATTTTTGGGGCATTTGTGCCTTTTTTTTATTTTTTTTATTTAGAGACTCGACACCTAACAAAGAATGACAGAAGAGAGAGAGGGAGGGGACTGATGTGTTAATACAGGTCCACAGCTGGATTCGAACAGAGGATGTTGCGGTTCACAGTCAGCGCCTCAAACCACAAGAACATCAGGTTGTCGCATTTAAGAAAGATTTCAGTCATAAATGCCAAAACCTCTGACTGCAGCTTCCCAAATGTGAATATTTGCTGGTTACATGAATACCTTTGGGTTGTTTACAAATTGGGTTTTTCGGAAATTGTGATTTTTCGCCATTTATGTTGATGACTATATATTGATTAATCCAGAACATAATTGTAAGATTCATCTATAATCTATAATAAACCTGCAGTACAACAGAAAACAGAGGAGAAAATTGTATTGAATTTTAACCTTTGATAGAAAAATAATATTGTATAAGCAGAAAATGAGCAACACTATTGCCAAACATGACATCAAATAGCATCACAACTGCTTCATTGTGTTTTTCATAACACCCACATGGCGCTCCAGGAGCCGTCAAAATAATCCAATTAAAACGATGACGCACTGTGACCTCACATGACATGTGCAGCTTCGTGTTGCTGCTCTGAATGCCAAATTTACTTTGTGACAAAGTCAGTGTGTGAATAGAGAACACTCCCGTGGTCCCCATATATCAAACTGTTTTCTCATGATCACAATCTAATTTACTGTGCTGCAGCTGTCAGGTCTGCGCCGTGGTAACGACTGATGTTTTAATCAGGTTTGAATTCTAGTTCTGCATTATAATCGCTGCAGCATTCAATATGAAGCAGCATTCAAAGCCACAATCTCAAGAAAACCTGATGAAAACAAACACGACCAAACACAGAGAAAAAGAGAGGTTGATATGAAAATGTGAGCACAGTCACAAAAATCCTACTTAGAAAGCTACAGGTCTCAAGAAAAGTTTATTTAATCATGACTATTAGATAATAAAATCATCATGAAAACATAAACAAAGCATGTTGTGCTCTAATTAGCTGAACATCATCTCTAAAACGACACAGACGTATATATGTCTATGTAAAAAAACTCTTTCAGTGCTAGCTACCTAGCTTGCTTCATTGCTTTCGTTGCTAGATTTTGATGATTTGAAGGAATGCGAGATGTTTTGTGACTAGCTTACAAAACTCAAGACAGCAAGCTCAGCAAACCAAAAAAAACATGAAGGGAATAGTTTGACAAAATATTCTTATTCCCTTCTTCAGGGATACTACTCACATGTCTGTTCAGTTAGATTAGCATGACACAGAAACTGGACACAGGGGGAAACAGCTAGTCTGGCTCTGTCTGTCTGGGCCAAACAGTCTTCATGGTCCCTAATAAAACAAGGATCTACTCAGACGATTATTTAATCAGATGTGGACGGAGCCAGAGACGGCGCATCTCATTTTTCCAGCAGACTGTGGGATTTGTGTGAAAATTCACAGCTGAGGTGTGAAGATTCAAACTGTGGTTTCACTTAAGATTGTCACCATGATACAAACTGTACTTCCTCTAATTCAACACTTCTTAATACAAAACAAAAGCCTGAAGTCTGAAGAAGTCAATGTACAGCCTTCGAATTTACTGCTTTCAGTCTAAACAAGCCAAATACTAAAGTCAGATTTTCCACTCTGGTTTAGACCAAATGAGGCTGCTCTGCGTGATGTCATCATTAATTAATGGTGTGTTTGGTTGGTCCAACTCATAGAATCACAAATAAGTCACCACAAATTGCCCTAATGAACAGACTTGTACAAAACAGTGAAATTTCCATTACATTTTGAGATCTGTGTCCTGTGTGTGTGTGTGTGTGTGTGTGTGTGTGTGTGTGCGCGTGTGTGTGTATCTGGGGTAAAAACCACTTCAACCATTGTGAAAATTGAGTGGAGTGAGGCTGTACATGACCACATTATAAACCATTAAAGGCTTACTCCAACGATTTAGCATTTAGCATTGACTTACAAGGGACAGTCTTATCTGAAATAACCGCCGTCAAATTTTAAGCAAATTTTTCAGAGAATCGGCAAAGAAAATCTGAATTGATGAGCGTTTCCGTCCACTACTGTTAGTTCCATTAAACCTCTGCAGAAGAAAATGATCCAACGAGATGATGTGATTAAAAGAGCACCAGTCAAACCTTATTGGGCAGAAAATCAGTTCACACATATTTGACATTTTCCTCTGCTGCTGTTTCTCACTCCTCCAGTGGAGGCTTGAGTGACAGACAAACAAGTCACACGCCTCATGTCTGCCACAAATTATCCACTTAGTCTGTTTCCATTACAATTTGTTGCATTTAGTTTTTTTCTTATACACAAACATTTACACTCTTAGCCAAGCATAAAGAGTTTTCTGCGATATTTTTGGACTTTTCTTTGCACATATTGAAAAGAGGAGGATAGAAATGCACGTACTCGTGAATGTCAGGGTTAATTTCTCAGAGTTTAGAAAGCGTCTTTAAGAGCCACAGAGAAAAGGAGTGCACCTTTGAACATATATTTAAACAGGAGTTTCTCATCACTGATTCATCTGCCAGCACTTTCTCAAATAATGAATTCGTCTTTTGGTCTGTAAAATGTCAGAAAATTGTTTCTTGTTCAAATAACTGATTAATCAACTAACAGTTTCACTGCTTTCTGACAACTTACTCAAAGGCTGCACAAAAAACTACTTGTGCAAACACTGTGCAACAATATGCAGAAATATGCATCTGAACTGAGAGTGGGTAAAACATGTTGAATCATGTTGCTGTTTGTCTGGCAGTAGGCCTATATGTCCATGGCAACGCTAACAAACTGCATGTTGTTGGCAGGATGTTGCATTGTTTACACGATTATAGCGTTTTTAAGGATGTAAGACCTACGATAAACTAAAAGCTAAAATAAAATAAACACTGTTGTATCCTGGATAATGTAGGAAAGGTTGATTCCGTTCCTGCTTGGTCCCACACTGACTCCAGATGGCACTGCTGACCACGGCAGGACCAACAAACACACACACATATATACACAAACAAACTGCAACCACAGTATGTCTTGTGACACTGTCTTGCTAAATAGTAGATTCTCACACACCAATCATGTGAACTTAAGTGAGTAAATGCAATGTAAGGCAAATAACCTTAACAGACGCCTTCAGAAATACACACACTGTCACACGGGCGCACACACGCACACACACACACACACATACGCAGAGCTAATAAAGGTCCTGGGCTTTTTCCTGTTATTGTTAAGATGAAGTTGGTGGCTCCTCGTCTGACTGATAAACACAACCTGACATGAACAAACCTGGAAAACACAACACACAACAAGCCCCCAGTCTCCACAAATCCATCTTAACATGACGGACTATCCATCTCTTCTTTAGTGGTGTTGCTACCAGTTGCTAAATACAGTATGAGCATAAGCCCAGATTTCATTTCATCTTTCCAAGAACAACTTCATCTGTCTGCCGCTTCCCCTAATCCCTTGCGGTCTGCAGTTGCTTCCTGTCATTCGGTCTTACTCCTAGCTGTGCTTTGGTTCTCCTGTTTGCGGATGGAGACATTTTTTATGCATCTTGGTGCCGTTATTTGCATCATTCATTGTGCTCGCAGTCGTTAACATTCCTGACATTGATTTGCCTCAGTTCCTCTGATCCGCCTATGTCACTGCACTTCCCTATATTCACTTCTGTGCGTACCGACTTATCTATTCTGTAACTACATTCCTGTGCATTGTGTTCAGCCGTAGCCTCCAGATATGGAGAAGAGCTGCCTTTCTCCTCCTACGGATGTTATACACTCACTGTCTCAGTCAGCTCAATACGATCTAAAATAAATACATAACAGCACAACCACCGCTCGCCTGCCTGCACCAATCATCCTCACCTTATGGAGGCAAATGACTATTGACTTCTGATCTATTGATGGGAGGTCCCTGAACAGCCCCTCCCTTCACTGAACACAGGCTACACCACACACAAACAGCCTCCCTTGTGTTTTTCTAAATGACATGGGAAGATGTGTGAAATGTTTGGGTGGTTTGTGTGCCAAGAACGACCATGCATCATCATACATTGTAACACTCAGGACTTCAGGTCTGTGCAACCAGTCACATCTGTCTTTGTTTGTGTGTGTGTGTGTGTGTGTGTGTGTGTGCATATTCAGTGTGGTCAGCACGTGACCCACACTGCAGCCACCGGTGTGGATTGCTTCCACACGGGCATGGTTAATATGCTGCCCGTCCAGACATGAGTAATAATAAGTCTTTAAGTCAGCCATGCCTGCACAGCATCTCCGCATCACTGCTGGTCTATGTGCGTCACGCACGCAGTTTTCCAACACAAGGTACATTATGACAACTACAATGACTCCATCTATTCACACCACAATCCCCGCATCTGTGGAGGAGACTCCCCAGCCCCGGCCTAGTGCAAAGGTTCATTCTGGCAGACACACTGCGTGCTCCTGCTCCTGCTCCTGCTGCTGCTGGCTAGACAGAGGCATTGTTGGCATACCCGACATATGCTGCTCGCTCCGAACTTCCACCCGAAAACATCCTTTTTTATGACGCTGTTTTTCTCGCAAGTAAATCTTCATCAATAAATAAAAATTGACATCCGCTGCGAATCATAATGTGCGGCTCATTAATTCAGCGTGTATGTAACACACGGAGGAGCGTTTACTACGTCTAAAAGGTCAACTATTATTTGTGGTTCGCGTGTTGTCCCTCTGTTACCCTTACGTCAAAAATACACTCGAGCGGACGGGGGACGTGCACCGTTCTCTCATAAAAGATTGGATTTTAAATTGTAATGAAGCACATATTGATGAATCAGTCGCAGGCCGAATTCTCCAAAAAAACCTCGACGAATCAAAAGCAGGTTTCATTCACACCCTCGGAGGTGTTTACCTCTGCAGGTGAGCACGGACATTTAAAACGGCCAGATTTGCAACGGACTTCAGCGTGACGTTCTTCGTGGAAACGTGAGGACGGGGATCGAGAGCTCCGGGTGTATTTTTTCCTACTTCGGCGTATCACGTCGTTAATATCCAGCACACAGGCTGCTGCCGATAACCGTGAACGGTTGACGCCGTCTGGTTATAACGTGTCACCGTCCGGTTTAGGACCCAGAGGCAGACGGTCGGTTTGGCAGGCCCCGCTGGCTGACTGCTGCGCTGCGTCGCTTCCTTCCTGCAGCCTCCCCTCTTTCACAGACAAACGGCAGATTTTTTTTTAACGCAGAGTAAACATTGTCGAGACCGAGACCATCACAGACTCCCGCGCCGCTGCGGCCCGTCAGTCATACCTTATATTGCAGTTGGTCGGAAACAGCCCGGCGCCCGTTACGATCCGTGGTGGATACAGCCCATTGTCCTGCTGCTGCTGCTGCTGCGAGTGAACAGACTGAGTGCCTGCCTCCCCCCCCTCCCCTGCTCCTCCCTCTCCTCCTCCCTCTCCTCCTCCCCCTTCTCATCATCTGTTTTCCTCCATCTCTCTCTCTCTCTCTCTCTCTCTCTCTCTCTCGCCTCCTCACCCCTACTCTTCAGCGTCCTTTCCCTCACCCTTTTCCCTTTTCCATCCTTTGCTCCTCTTCCTCCTCCTCACCTCTCGTTCCCATCATCATTTCTCATTTTTTTCTTGTGTTTTATGTCTTTTTTTTGTATTTTATTGTTATTGTACAGCACTGTACTTTTTTAAAACGCGCTTTATAATTTAAATTGGATTGGATTGGATCAGGTGTAGTAGAAGTTTCTCTCCCCCTACATGGCCCATTTTTTAAATGATTTTAACATGTTACCGCTGGTTAATCCTCTGACAGACTGGAGGGTGTCATTTACTGTCATTATGCAATTTGACTGGGAAGTCAACAGTCCACTGGCCTCATATAACAAGCATCCTATGACTCACTGTCTGAACTCACTGCACACCTGCTTTGGTGGCTCACTGACTTTTACAAGGTGTTTGCCAGAAATGGCAACTCAGTGCAAGTGACCTTCCAGGTGCAACATGGAGATCAGGCGACCTCTGCTGGCCGAACCAGCTAAAAACACAACTACACCACTACAACTACAGCTGTGCAGGTAAGTGGAGCAAGAAGTACAAATATACAGAAAATGGAAATACTAACCTGTAGGCTACTTGACAACAGTACTTGAGTTAATTCAAATACCTTTTAGCACAGGTAGGGTTAAACATTTAAGGAGACACTTCACCAGTTTTATCCATAAAAGCATACTATGTTCCTGCAGTACAGGAGGCTGCAGGATCAGGACCACTGTCCAAGGACCACATTTCTAGGACCCTAGTTTTTTGTGTGTGCCACCTAGAGAATTGGTAAGGGGTAGGGTCAGTTAGGCAAATACAAAATGGATCTCTGGTACGGATCGGGCGGTGAAGCCACCCAAATACTACTTTCTGTCTAATGACTTCGTAGGTGTCATGAAAAACTACAGGGTCCGAGAAATGTGGTCCTGAAACCTGCAACCTCCTCTGACGCAGAGACATGCAACTAAAAGTCAGTTTAACTTTTTATAAGAAGTTTTCCAAAATCTGAGAAAACCCCGGTGATGTCATTGTGATGTCACCAGGGTTATGAGTTTGGGGATGGAAACTACAAATTTATAACATAGAGCCTGTGCTACAAACACAGGGAGTGAGTTTGAATAATGCAAGCTACTATATTAGGACAGCAGGGTCTTATTGAGTTGTATTATGGGAATTGTAGTCTAGAATGATCTTTTTTTCAGTGTGAAGCGCAATACTAATTTACTTGATTATCACTTTAACATCTGGGTCCTTGTGTTCAATAATTTTGATGACTGTTCAGAAAGGCTACACTAAAAGTAAGACATTAAAACTGTGTTTAGCTGATTCTGTGTAATGAATATTTTCTGTAATTTCATTGTCATGTGAAGAATTTTTCACATATTCCATTCAACTAACATACACCTGCACCAGTGGAAATAAATTCACTATCAATTTAAGAAACACAACTGACATACTTAGCAGCATTTCTTTCACCGTGCAAACACAATACATTAACAACCATAATATCTACACAACTACACTATGTGGCTCTGGATAAAACAAAGCAAACAAAAAACAGTCGTGTTTTACTTTGAAACTTTTCACCGGAGGTGGTACTATGCTATATTCTGTTCTCCTTGGCGTGTATTAACCTATGGTATTAACTGAGCTGCATGAGTTAATTGTCATCAGTGTTCACTGACATCCAGTGGTCACAATGAGGAACTGCAACACTAGATTAAATTTGCAGCAAACACATCAGAAAAAGTATTTAATGTAATTCTTATAATTAACAACATTCACACGATTACTGGTTATAATTTTACTTATAAAGAACTGTGTCTGATGTGGAGCACAAACTACCGCAGATATTCTTGCCAGCATCAAATCAGACATGATAGTACACTTCCAGTGACATCATTTCAAAATAAAACAACTAAACTAAACCTGTCGGACAAATAATGATTATTGTTCTCTATCGGTCACAATTAAAACTAATATTTATATGGGTTATTATTTTTCTCTTAGAATGATCAAGAATTGTAATAATGGTCATGGTAGTATGTAAATGCACTTAGTAATTGTACATTTATACATTTGTTTAATCAAACAATTAGAACCCAGCACCATGTAATGCTTTCCAATGCACAACCTTTGTGCAGATATATCTGTTGTATCAGGCGACTAAAGGAATCATATTTTAGTTATCTACAAATTCTGTGGTTAAATTCATTTCTAGCTTGAGTACAAATTTGGGTTTTTCTCTCTAGTCAGGAATGCCACATGCAAGTTTATTTTTTATTTTTTAAACTGTTGTTACTTGTAATGACTGAAAGAGAAAAAGCATGAATACCAGTAACAAAGCTATGGTAAGCAGGTGTTAGTTACATCTGAGCCTAATGTAGCTCAAATGGCTATAAGTTAAAGACATTAAAGACACAATGACAACTGTATAAAACTTCTAGTGAGAATATAACTGCAGTGTAAAACTTTGAGGTATTTAAGTTTCAGTTTCCTTTTTCAAATTGGAATTTGACAATATCAGCTTCTCGCATCAATATTCAGTTTCCTTTTTCAGCTTTGATTTTCATTTAATTGATTACCTTAACTACTAAAATACAAACAAAATAATTTATATGCCATTTCTCTTTTAATTTTCAATTTAATTCTTATTATGGATAAAATTATCCACCATTGTGAAAATGATGGACGATTGTGAACAGAAAACACAGTATGACCTCTGAACCGTCTGTCAAGCTGTAGTAGACAGATGTGGACAGAAGAGGGCAGCAAAATAAAGTTTATCTGTAGTACGGATGACAAATCCACCGCATCAAACACATGACACTGAATTTTAGTGAGACAATCCTAGTTAATGTATCCATAATATTGAATATAAAAATTGTACTTAAGTAAAGTACTCACCACTGTAATGATGCATATTTTGTTTCATACTAACTCAAACCAGAAGTTGCTAAAAGATGTTCATCCAAAAAAGAAAAAAGGAAAAAAAAAAGAAAAGACAAAAAAAAGCAGAATCCATGAAGGTGTACCAGTTGCAAATGCTTTAATTCATTGATATGGCCACATGATCAAATACAGATGATAGATTGGTGTGAGTAGGCACAAACAGAGCTGTGAGTTCTCTGGGTAGAAGTAGGCACGAACATTATACCTGGAAAATGACTCCATTGTGCTGGAAAATGTAACATGGAGTGTTTATACAGTAACCTCTGTTATTCAACACTCCACACGAGTTCTGTTGTGACCACAGGAGCTTCTTCTCAAACGCTGCAAAGCTGAACTGAATGCGTCTAGAGCTTTTCCAGAAAATGAATAACTGCAGCTGAAGATAATTTCCTCATCAAATTAAGTAAAACTTCAAACAACATACATCAAATTTCAACACCGGGGCTCTAAAAATCTAAGCGAGAAACCTACTGTAATGTTATAAATCTTTTCATGATAAACATTTCTCCACTGTAATCATAAATCTATTTATATACCAGTCAAACCAGTCAGACCAGCTCTATGTCTTCCCTTGATATAGTTACCCATTTCTGCAGGAGGGCAGAGTCAGCCTCCCACATTTCAATACGACTATGAGATGGTTGTGATTTTCCTCCAAGTAAAACCTTATTTTTCACCTCAGGATGTTGGTCATGTCTTCTCTGACGTATCCCAGCCGTCTCTGAGAGTTAAACACAGAGGTGTAATAACACTACCTGGGCCACTAACAGCCCTCTTGTTTCAGTTCTCCCCACCCGACCATCATCCTCTCCCTCTCGCCCCCTCCATCTATGTACTCCCTTCCCACCCACTGGCCTTGTTAACCCCCCCACCCCACCCCCTGTGAGGGTCAGCATTCAGCTGCTGACAACGTGTCCTGACCAGGTCTCGTGTTTGGTTCCCGGGTTGAGATGGGTTATGGTCACCTCCACCGCCTGGACCTTCTCGTGTTTGGGGGGGATGGAGCAAACCTTGTAGCTCATCTCGTCGCCTTCCACCGGCACATACTCGCCCTCAATGCTGGAGGAGAGGAAGACAAAAAAAAGATTTACAAACTATGAAATACTACAAGTTATGCACATGCAGATATTTGCAGCTGAAAAGCGAAACAACCAGCAAGTAAAATGCTTTGAACTTCCACAAAACTTCACCAGAAGACGCACTGTTTTGTTTTGTTTTTCCAGCACCAATACAGGTCTAAGCTGAACTTTGTTTAGGTGCAAATATCTGCATGTTGGGTAACTGCACTGATGGTGGTGAAGTGTCCATTTGACACACTAAAGGGTGATGTGACTTAAACATATGGTGTGTAAACCACATTCAGACGTTAAATAACGGGGTTTAACCTCAGTTAACATTTGCACGTTTGCACTTTCATATTTTATGCGTAATATATATTTTGTAGGAGTAACATTTAAGTTGCTCCTTAACTCCTTTAGTGTGGAGCAAGTGTGAAAACACTGGTGTGGACGCACGTCATTCACACATCAACGGCCTTTTTTCCAGATTAATGATGACGTACTATAACCCTTGAATATGAAACACTCTTTAATACTGCACAGCAAGTCAAGTTGTGTTTGACACACACAGATGGCAGGAGCTGCAGGAGAGGTGTAGGAGGACAAAAGAATATCTGATGACCTTCACCACTGTGCCTTTGTTTTCTCCCACATGCATAAAATACATGGACATCAGCAGTGTATAAACAGATGTACACACACACACACACACAAACTTAAACACCTATGTACACATGAAACACGGCAGCACAATGTATACTGTAAAACAGGTTCTCTGTTTCTCTCTTTCTTCCTTAGAGAATCTGTTTGAATCATTCCTCGCCAAAAAGGAAGCTCTGAATGAGTGTGTGTGTGTGTGTGTGTGTGTGTGTGTGTGTCCCTCTGCTTTTACACAGAGTGCTACTATAACTTGATGACGATCATTAAAACCAAAGCAGCACCCTCATACACCTCATCAGAGACAATGAGAAAAAAAACACACTGTACCACTCTTTTTGTCTGCGCGCACACACACACACACACACACACACACACACACACACACACACACACACACACACACACACACACCATCTGTTGATGCCTTTCTATTCACATCATTTCCAGATAACCTGATTAGTCATAAGAACATATTGATGCAAGTTAAAACAGCAAGTTAACCCCCCCCCCAACACACACGCACGCACACACATTCTGCGGACCTATAGTCTTCACATCACACACACACTTACTCTGAGATGTGGACAAAGATGTCGTTGCCCCCGTCCGATGGCGTGATGAAGCCATGGCCTTTGGAGCGGGAAAAATATTTACACACACCAGTATACACGGGACCCTCCGATGCTCGAGCCGTCCTGTATAGAGTGAGAAATATAGACAGAAACATGGAGGAAGTGGAGGGTGAGACCATTCAACAACGTGAGTGTATCAACACAGCACTCTGATCCACCAGTTAGTGAAAATAGGGCATTTTGATTGGCTGGCAGATGAAAATGTATTTCTTTTTTGCATTAGGTTCAACACTTTCGGTCATATGACAGTATGCAAGACATAACTTGAGTTGTAATATGGTTTTACAATTTACAAGGTAGTGAAGTTCTTACATTTTAAATGAGAATAAAGTCCTTAAAGTCCAATCAACAGAGACAGAAAAACATTAGAGTAATTTATCATTCATCATCATGTCCTGTGTTTATCATGACAGCCAGTCAATTAAAAAGGGTGCAGCTCTTTCAGCATACGTGGTTCACTCTTGTTTTTACTGAGTGTGTTGTCACCTTAACTTCTTTACTTTGCTGCTTCAAGTAACTAATAAATTCAACAAGCTTTGCTCACTATACTGGAAACATAGCAGCTGTGTGTGTGTGTGTGTGTGTGTGTGTGTGTGTTCTCACGCTGAGCAGGTCCTGTTTCTGCGGGTGGGCAGAGGGCTGGGGATGAGGTAGCCTCTCATGGGGGAAGGCGAGCGGTCTCTGTGTCTGCAGACTGGAGGCTGCAGGGACTCTGATGGGACAGAAAACTGGTGTGTCACCTCATGAAAATTTAAACACGACATCACTTATCAGACAGCTTCTCCAGCAGTGCCTAAGAATGCGCTGATATACATGTTTACAGCATCTGCATTGAATGAAATAACACAATAAATAATTATATAATATTCTGCTTTGTGCATTGAGCTCCTTGTTGCTGCTGTCGCCCACTGGGATGTGCTGGTTTTAAAATATCTTCACCCACAGAGTGGATTTAAGGAAAATGCTGCGTGTAATCCAGTGTTACTGTTTGTAATCTAATTTCACTGATATCAACCTGACTGTTTACTCTTCACTCTGATTAGGAGTTGTATTAAGAAGCTGCTAATGCGAGAAAACAACAGAAATTTCCTATCGTTGCTGCTTCACATTATGTGCACACCGTGGTTTGTGGTCTTCGTGCGTACAGTCAGTGGAGGGCTGATATGATTGACAACAGTCTCAAAGTAGCTAAAATAAACATGCCTTTACCAAGTGACACCGGAGAGCGCATGGATCCTGCAGAATTCAGCGGAGGGGTCACAGGTCTTGACCCCTGGATGGGCGTGGCCTGAGAGGACATCACGGAGGACGTCGGAGTCAGTGTGTGTGGGGAGGAAGGAGGGGGGAGGGGTCACTCAGCAGAGGTTGTGAAGTGAAACACCTGAGGAGAGCAGCACAGGAGAAGAGATGTGAAGTCTTGCTCCCCATCACTCACACACAAGTTAAGTATCTCTTAAAAACATGTTTTTTTCAGTCTCTTTAAAAGCATCATCCCTCCCTCCCTCAGCCCTGAAGCACAACAACCCCCCCCCCAAAAAAGACAAACAAACAAAAAAAACCAATGAATCAGTGACCTGCTGGTGGCATTCACAGAACTCTCATTACCATGGCAACAACAATTTGTGGAAAGGCCGACACCGCTGTGACCTTACAGGGACGGCAAAGGAGAACAGTCCCTTCATTCACCTCGCCCCGGGACTTACATCATCAGTCATTACATCACCAGCTATGTCAGCCAATTAGGAAGAAGCAGAAAAGAAAACCTCCATTGATTTATCTTTTCCATTACTGGCATATTGTTAAAAGAGTTTTACGGAGAGAAAAGATCGGGGGGGGGGGTTAGAAAAATATAATAAAAGTTAACAATGACAGAGGCACCAGGAGCAGCTCAGTGAGTAAATATTTTTCAGTATGTCTGTAGCTGATGGTAAAATAAAATGGAGAAGATTTTCCAGGTTTCCAAGAACAGCATTTTTTAACTTTTACAGGTGTAAGCTTGTGAGTTTAAGACTGACTGTAGCTGATCAGTAAGTTTAAAGCTACAACATTTAATATTTTTTAATCGCACAATCAACGCACAGCAAATTACAGCAGAACTCTCACTGTTTTGGTTATAATACCCTCAAACTCAATAAAGTTCTGGTAAACTCGCTCCACACTTCCTGCCCAGCACCAAAGGGTTTACAAACAAGCTTGGTGAGCTGCTGGTTAAGAAGATGGTGCATTTAGAAGCTTTAGTCGAATGTTTCCAAAAGGAAGTTGGTAAAAATAATGTTGTGTTTTCAGCTCTTTATGCTGCCCTCAAGTGGCCAAAATCAATCATTTTTGCATATATTCTTATTATCAATTTTTGGCTCTAGGGATGGCAACATTGGTCAGATTGTCAGTTGGTAAACCAGGCTCATAAATATCTAATAATATATGGATGAGTTTTCCACAGATGCCACCATAAAGACGACATCTTTGGTTTTTCTCAACCACTACTGGATGGATTAACATTAAATTTTGTACAGATAGTCGTGGTTACCACTGGATCCCTTACCGTTTAATTTATCTCCATCATCAGCTCATAATTTTACTTTGTCCGATTATTTGCTTTATGATCAAATACAAGCAAAACTAATGTTAATGTTAAAAACTTATATTTAGTGCTAATTAGCAAATGTTCGCATGTTAATACACCAAATTAAGATTATTAACATTCTGCCTGCTTTACATCACCATGTTAGCATTATCACTGTTAGCATGCAAGTACAGTTTTACAAAGCAGCTAGCATAACAACTGACTCTTAGTCTTGTTGTAAATTATTTCACTATGCACGCCGTATAGAATACCGTCTTTAATGCTAATTGTCGTTTTTAGCATCAAGCTTGAAACTTTCTGACTGTGAAACTAAATTGAAGTGACAATAAAGTTGATAATAACATCGTTTCCAAGGATTATTTTCTGACAGAGAAATTTCCGTTACTTCTGGTGGGGTCAGGTGATGGACAGAACGCAGCACTGATAAGAAAAACACTCAGTTTGGTCCAAATTCGGTATCGATAAAAATGGAACAAAGCTAGATTGAAGTTTTGTGGTTGTTGTGATAGATGATCTCTCTGTGAGATCTGCTTTTTATACTGGATGAGGATGACTAATACCAATTGAAGGGAGGAACACTAAGCACTGATATCTTTCACTGTAACTGTGTGCAGACAAACAATAAGTCCTAAATAAGGAGATAACACAACCTCCAGAAACTTCCTGCCAGACGTCAACAGACTCTCAGAATATCTGCAGATTCACAGATGAGTGCTCATTCTGAGCCGGTCACTTATCTCTGCTAGTTCTGGGTGAGAGTTTTCTTTTTAAAGCTACATGTATATTTATCCAGGAAGGTTTGCTTAGCACACAGTGGCTTGTTTAACATTCGCACAGCTTCACACACTGACAGCAGGAACCTGAATACATTTTACAGTTTCAAAAAGGACGCAGAGCAGAGTGAGCAGAGTGTCTGATCCATCTTAACTCAATAGACATGAGGTTAATGTAATCACAGCCTCTCTGAACAACATACTTCCTGCTGGAGGGAGGCAGGGATACAACTGACAGCAACACAGAGAGATCAATCCCCCAATACCAGTGTGAATTTACTGAAACAAAATTAAGACTAATGTCTTTTTTTAATTTGGAACTAAAAACAACTGAAGATCTTAAAAAACAACAACAAAAAAAACAGGAAAGACAAATCATTAACAGGTGCAGTGACAGAGTTGCTGCTCTAGAACAGCAACAGAAAAGGAAGGAGGGTCTTTACAAGGAGCACAGAGGGAGGGAAGAATGAAATGGAAAAGTGGCCGATAAGCAAAAGATAAGGCCTGAGGGAGGCTGGGAAAACATGATGAGGTGAGTACAGATTTAGCCTGGGTAGTTTTTCTGTTTACTGCCTGCTGCTTTAATGGGCCATAGTGATGGTTTTCCATACTCTGTACTTTACATTCGTGCTGGTTATTTTCCCACGCAAGCTGACTTTGAATCACATCATTTGAATTTGAGTATTTTATTTTGAATAATAATATAATAAATTTCCTTCAGTCCTCCACCTTTTCTTCTAGACTGCTAAATAAAACGCTGTTAATGCTAACGTTAGCTATGTAGCAATAGCAAAACTTACAAATAGCTCCTTTAACTGAGCTACAGTAACGTTAAAATGGCCACTGAGGTCATCAATGTGAAGTGCAGTTTTTAAATGAATGGGAAAGTGGTGTCAAACCTAGGACTTCATGTGTTGACAGAAAACTGTAAAGTTTCCACAGAAATTCAGAACTTCACACTAAAAGCCCCAGTGCCAGTTTCACACACAGATAAGTAGCCACAAGCTTCCTTCGTGAAACTACTGTTATTATGCAAGCGATGGTTATGACTGGATATATGACTGGATATAAAATGCGCCCCGACTTACACTTAATCTGCACATATTCTGTTTAATACATTTTTATTTTATATCAAAATATGAGTTTAAAAAGGACAAAAATGTGGGCCACAAAATGTTCAGACAATAGCAAGAGGAAAGTTGTTATTAGATTAAAACAGTATTGTGAAACAGATTTTAAGGCTGGAGTTGTGTGTCTGTCAATTCTGTTAGAACAGCATCTATAACAGATGCTGCCACAACAGTGGCTCTGTGGCTTTGGCTGAACCACAATCCTTTTATTTCTTTCTATAAAAACACAGCATCTCTCTGCTCGCTCTCTCCCTCACACACACACACACACACACACACAATAGCTGCACACAAGCTACACACGGCACTAAACCTGTATCCTTTGGAATTTTCCATGATAGTGGTCTCTGGACACCCAGAGACCCTGCTGATACAGCAAATACCAGTCCAGCGAGCTTTTTAAGCCAACACACACCTACAGCTTTGCTGAGACAAACACTACCCATGTGATGAAGCCATTATACTGTACGAGGCAGGATGACACATTTGGTCAATCTATGCAGACTCCATTAACTGGTTTAGAGTTTCAGCCTGGCACCTTCTGCAAGACTGGATCCATTCATCTAGAGCTGCAACCTCACTTGTAAAAGGATAGTCCTTGAGATTTCTTTATCAGTGACTGTAAGTGTCGCTACTCCCTATTATGGATTTAAAAAAATACAGTGATGTGACGCCAACAGTTTATAAAACCCAGTCCAAACGTGTTCATATCACGTTCATATCTTCGCACCTCAACACTGGCTGTCCATTCATTCTAGGATTGATTTTTAAATTCTTTTCATTACTTTCAAGGCCAGGTTTGGGCTGGCCCCTCCCTATATTTCTGAGCTTTTAACCCCTCATGAGCTGAGATGCAGTCCGAGATCCTCTGGTAGTGCATTGCTGGCCATTCCAAGGTCTAGGTTGAAAACCAAAGGACACAGGGCTTTTGGAACAACCAGCCAGAGGAGATCAGACTTGTTTCACCTCACTCCTTAAGACAAAGTTTTATAAAATGCTTTTATTGTGTAATTTCATTTACATTTTCCTTTGATTTGTTTGTGTGTTTTATATAAACTGGTGTGAATCACTTTATTGTATTGCACTTTTCAATACAAGTAACAAAGTCATAATAATAATAACAATAAATAATAATAGTAAATTTCCATGGGCTTCCTGGTTAGTCTGCTTTAAAGGAATATTTGACGTTTTAGTAAATACTCTTATTCGCTTTCTTGCTGAGTGTTAGACAAGAGGACAGATACCAAATTTACTTGTACACACCAGAATCAGTGTTTTACTCTATTATAATGGTAATTAGCTAAAAAATCTTTTAACTGGTGAATGAGGTCGTGTCTCTGCGTGTACCAGGAAGTCCTGTCACCTCCCATCCTGCTGAGGGCTTACTGCTGGACGAGCCAGAGAAAAACAAAGATATGAATGTAGCGTAGCGATGAACAGATTTGATTTATCCAAAAATTCAAATTCAACTCACAAAAAGCTTTTATGGCAACATCCGCCCACTGTGGAATCAATGCTGAACACAAATGTAATCAAACTGGATATGGAGATAAAAAATTAAATGTTATGATTCCACAGTCATCATCTGAAACTGAAAACGATAACTAAAGGTCAAATGCCTGCATGCAAACACACACCAAGAGATACTGTCTGTATTTTAAAACCAGGGTGACAAAGAGGACAGATGAGAGTGAGCTACAGTGGTGAGAAAAGCGCAGGACAGGATGACCGTGTGAGGAACTGAAACTTTTAACACGATCATCCCAATCTCTCTCTTTTCCTTCAGCCACTTTGCTTTGTCCCTCTCACACAGTTACTCAGTTCCTTGTTCATCCCAGGGGGGAAAACAGAGGAGAGGAGAGAAGATGTCCACAAGGGAGAGATGACACAAAGC